GATACATAGCTCGGAGAAGCTGGAAATGTTTCTAAAGGTTAAAAATACACTAAAAAAACGAGACTGTTCATGTGCTGATTGAATTCTCATTGAATTACAGCTCGACTTTGTCAGCATGATTGCGTATCTTCTCGCCCTCGGCACCGTCAAGGTCTCATTCTGCCTCCTTTACCTGCAGATCTTCCCTGGAAAGGCGTTTCGAATTGCTTGCTGGAGTCTCATGGGCCTCCTTGTCGCTGAAACAATCGAGGAAACATTCGTCGTGATTTTTCAATGCTCACCGATACACAAAGCATGGGATGCTAGCGGCAACGTCAAAGGCCAATGTTTATCTCTGACGGCCTTCTACTACATCTCCTTCGGGATCCGCTTGGCTACTGATCTAGCGCTCTTCGCTCTCCCTCTTCCGAAAGTGATGCAATTGAATATGACATTAGGCAAACGAGCCGGGCTGGTGATGATGTTTGGATTGGGTGTGCTGTATGCTGGTTCCCCTTAGCTGGAAACCACCTAGGGGTTACGAATAACCGCGATTTATAGGGTCTCCGTGACGAGTATAATTCGAGCGACGTACATAAGCAATTTTTCTGAGGACCACACCTGTGTGTTGCCCCTCCCGTTGGACCCTTGCGTGTGCTGCGGCTAATGACCCATTTGCTACATGAACAGGGACACTTGTCAATACTCTCAATTGGTCTAGTGTCGAAGTGGCTGTGGCCATCTTCATCGCCTGCATCCCTTCTTTTAAATCGCTCATTAGCTTCCGCTTTCCTGCTTTACAACGGCTACTCGGACTTTCCAGCAAGGGCGACTCGACCGGTCGGTCGAAGATGTATGGGACATCGACGCGTCGGACCAATAATGGGCGATCCATCATTGGACACCAGAGTATCAAACTGAATACTATGACGGGGCAGAGCCGGGCCGATGTTGAAGCTAGTCGCAATGGCTCAGAGGAGCGGATTATCGGGGCTCATGAAGGCATTCAAGTCACCACGGATGTGAGTGTAAATGAAAGTGATTGATATGTGGTATAGTTCGATTATTTCTCTACAGATTTCTTATATTATCTATAATGTCTATGAATTTGTGATCTCAAACTATCGGGTTCGTCATTACCTGCAATGTGTGTGCGGAGCAATTACCAAGTTAGCACACGCACTCATCGATCAACGTAACTAGCTCTAATGGCACCATGCGTGACCGCGACCAAGGGTTAATGTCGAGAAGCCATTGAATCTTAGCGCTGAGGTCGTCTTTAGGGCATGTGAGGTGGGCCCATTCGGAAAGGTTTCCCCGAGAAGGAAAAAACCATCAACCACCCGCGGACGACTTCCGGGGAAGGTGACCTTGGTCGAAAATATAATGTAATCCCTGGTGGGAGAGCAAAGAGATATTTGATTCATACGATGGGCTGGCTGCCAGTAAGCTCTATGAAATCGGATTAAGATATCATTCAAGTAGGGTTTTCTCGAGCCCTCTCAATGATAAGTTTGAAGCTCGTGAATCGACGGGTTGTCTTTCCACTGATCCGCGGGACAAGCAATTTCAAGCTTAATATCGAAATGGCCCACTTAGCGTGGTGCTTTTAGCTTCCACGACCTCCGAGTCCAATAGAAACGCCCAGGATCAAGCATCCTTTACTTGCTGAGGCAACGAGCATGCTGTCGGTTATCTACCGGTGTCGTATATGCGTTGGCCAGCGTGACTAGTTGGCTAGCCTGTACTACTGAGGCCACGAACCGGGCTTCCCTAGACCTGCTGTGTCTTGGTACGTAAAGCGCCCCAGGGCGCTGTTTGCCCCTGTAGGTGTTGCATGGACATCGGAGATAATCAGCTCGAGAATGAGGGGGTGTTTTACCCGATTAGTAGAAATCTGTCTTCCGCCAGCCACCCCCTTCCTCAACAATGGTCAGAAAGGATAAACAATCGAATCTTTCGCTTCCCTCAACTATATCCAAGCCAAGCATGGTGGCCTTAGAGCGGGCTTGTCTCGGCCGATCATAAATCCCCGAGAAATCGCAGGAGCCAGCCGTGGGATGCCAAGCCACGAGGGCAGGGGAAGCCAAGTTGATTAAAGCTATTTAGTAGCTGACACAAGCGTCTTGGCTCGTAGTCCATCAATCAAACCATTTTCTCTCACAAAGGCTGAAGCTGTATATTTGAATCGCACGCCTTCTCTCCGGCTTTCCCTTTTCCGGTAGTACCTGGTAAGACCTCATGTTCCTTGTATCAGATGTCATCTGTGCTTATCCTTCTTCCGCGCGCCAGACAAAGTTATCGACCCACCAAACCCGCAGTTTCTCTGTTCACTAAAGGGATCATTTATGCTGGACGTGTCCGCTTCTGTAAGCCAGTTTACAACCAATCAGAAATCCCATGTTCGCATCCGAGGGCCGTAGTGCAGTCGACGACATAGTAAGCGAAAAGATCACTGCTAACGCGATACGTCTCATTCTGACGCCACCAATGACCTACTAAGTCAGTGTCACTCTATTGGGCCTTTACTACGCCGCGGCGTATCTCCCCGGAGCGTTTAGCGTGGCGGATTCTGGCACGAGTCCGTTGGTTGTCCCCACCATGATGGATTGATGCCAGTCCGCGGTTTCCCATAGGCATAATAAAGGTAAGCTAAGAAGCAATTAACCGATTGGCCTGGACAGCAGTCCGATGTGTACAGCGTTCTGCACTGGGCCAGGGTATCTGGGTAAATTGGGAGCCATCATGGCATCCCCTGGAATCAGACCAGACCCTTTCGTCCTTGATCCATGGACCTGTGTGCTGTCTCCCTGATGAGTCCTTCCCGAGACACAATTTAGGCCCCTGGTTACTCCTCTCGCTAGACTCATCATGCAGCAGTCCCAACCCTCTCAAGGACACCATGCTATCGTGTTCGGCTGTTCAGGCATCAACGGCTGGGCCCTAGTCAACCAGCTACTTACCGACTACCCAGCCCCAGGTACATTCAGCAGGGTGACAGCGGTTGCGAACCGTGCATTCACAGCCGGGGACGCCCAGTGGCCAACAGATGATCGTCTCCAGATTGTCTCCGGCGTGGACCTCCTGGCGGGCGATGATGCAGCGCTGAAGAAGACCCTGGCGGAGAAGATCTCATCTGTTGATACGATCAGCCACGTGTACTATGCAGGTATGTAGGCGCCTTCCTGATTGCATGCATATAGATTATGTTAGTGCGTCTAACCGTGTGGGTTTCAATATCTGTGCAGCATATCGTGCCAGCGATGTCCCCGCCGAAGAATGTCGACTGAATAAGGAGATGCTTCGAGCTGCTGTACAGACGTTGGAGACTCTCTCTCCAAAATTGTCTTTTGTTACTCTTATTACTGGAACAAAGGCAAGCCACCTGCATATCCATATTATAATACATGATCTTTCATGTGTAAGAAGCTAACAACAACCATCATATCCAACAGGCATACGGCGTCTACCTCCTCGACAAATTCCCCTTCCGAAACCAAATACCCCTGAAGGAAGACCTCCCCCGCGTGCCAGCCGAATACGCCAAAGACCTCTTCTACTATCACGAAGTCGACCTTCTGCATGAACTCTGCATCGGAAAGACCTGGTCATGGTGTGAAGTCCGTCCGGACGTGATAGTACGTCGCCACCCCCTTCCACCACTTCCCCTGCCCCCCAACACGCTAACCGAAAACCCATGAAAAGGTCGGCCTCGCCCCCTTCGGCAATGCAAACTGCATGGCTCAAACAATGGGCATCTACCTCTCCCTCTACCGCGCCCTCGAAGGCCCCAACGCCCGCGTTCCCTTCCCCGGCAACAGCACAACCTGGACCCTCCAATCAACCGACTCCAACCAAGACATAATCGCGCGGTTCTGCATCCACGCTTCCCTCCAACCGCGCGAAAAGGTCCATACCCGAGCATTCAATATCGCGGACAGCGCACGCCCCGTCGCATGGTCCGAGCGATGGCCAATCCTGGCATCGTATTTCGGGTTGGAAGGTGTGGGGCCTGAGGAGGGTTCCTTGCACCCGACGGAGTACATGGATCGGAACTGGGAGAAACTGAGACAATTGTGTAGTGAGAGGGAAGGGGTGAAAGAGGAGGTGATTTATCGCAGTATGCATAATCCGGGTGCCAGAATGGGGAGTCTGAGATTGATGGATTTCGATCGCCCGTTTGATTTAGGGAGGGCGAGGGAGATTGGATTTGATGAGGAGATGGATACGAAAACGTCGTGGTTTGGGGCATTTGAGAGGGTGAGGGAAATGGGGATAATGTTGTAGATAGACATTTTCCTTTTCCATTCTGGTCTGGTAGTGTCATATAAGTGTAAAGAGACTATAGGTAATGCTGACGATGGTGGTGGTGTGATCAATTAGGTCACTGGCTATTATACAGAAGCTGGAATAGTATAATAGTTCATGAATGTACCAGCCAAGCATAGATCGATTGATTAATGAAGTGTATGATTCAAATCCAGTCAAGCTTTCAATGGTGCCAGATGTTTAGTATACAGGCTTCCGATGACAACTATGATCTTTTCTTCAGCATAACTCACACCACTCACTGACAGCCATGTAAAACGAACGATTCTGTTTCCAACACCACAGCCTGATTTCTATACAAATACTACCAGCAGGCAAGTCTGAATCTATGTAAGAGACTTTTGGGAATCCGTAAACATTTTTTATCTTACTCAGTAGTAGCATAGTGGCAGCCTGACATAAACAGTAAGAACTTCAAACTTCTTGAATACCCCATTATCTCGCTAATCCTCTTTCTAGTACTACTATTATTGAGACTGCTGGTCTATATCCAGTCACTCCTCCTCTAATGTAGTCTAAGATATATATCGCGAATGCCGAGATTTGAGCCCACTTTAGTACTCAGTTTTAGTCATAGTGATTACGACTACACAACCCCAGACGCAAGCCCGCCATGAATAAATAGAGGGGACAACAGCCAGTATTGAAAGAGAACCAAGGTGAGAAGATTGATATTAGACGAATTGAAACAGCTACATCGCCTTCACGCCCCCCCGCTTGTCAACCGTTACCCACATATCACGCCAGAATCCCACGCCTCCCTTGATCACAAAATGCGCGGAAGGTTTGCCGGCAATAGAGTGAAGCTTGAAATTGCGGAAGAGCTGTGTCCCAGTGAATCAGACAACGAATGAATTTGAAAGATTGTGAGGGTTGGGATGGGGAGGTACAAACCTGCAAAGGACCCTTGAACAGCTCCATCATGGCAATATCCTTGCCCAAACATACTCGCGTCCCGTAACCAAAAGTAAACAGATACTTGTTCATGAGCTTGGCACGCTCCGCGTCCAGCCAACGCTCTGGGTTGAACACATTCGCATCAGCGCCAAACACCTCCTGATCGCGGTGGACGATCCATGGGTTAGACGAGATCTCCGTGCCTGCGGGCGCGAACTGGCCATAAAGATCGATACCCGGTTCGGAGACATATCGAGGGAAGAGGTTTGGCGCGGAGGGGTTCAGGCGCAAGGTCTCGCGGACACACGCGGCATAGTAAGGTAAGTGCTCGACAATCTCTTGGTACTGGGCCATTGGACTGATGAGGCCCTTTCGGGCAGCACCATCGATCTCGGCCATCATGCGCTCGTACACCTCTGTGTGGATGATGAGGTTATATACCAGCGCTTGAAAGACAGTTCCGGTGGTGTCGGCGCCAGCAAGAAGAACCAAAAGGACCTCTGCCCGGATATACTCCATGTCTAGGGGCTTGCCCTCTTCGGTGCGGGCCTCGAGGAAGGTCTGGAGAAGATCGATCCGGCCGATGTCCTTCTTTTCTTCGAGATCGCGCAGGCGCTGGTCGATGAGTCGGTCGCGAAAGCGCATTAGGACTCCGATGCCCGAGTCATCTTGGGGAGTCGCAACTAGGTACTTCTTCATGAAGGTCGTCTTCATCCAGCTGGTGAAGGGGTGGAGACGCGCCAGAAGACCGAATGCTGGGAGGCCATCGTGAAAGCCTTGTACCAGACCGCCGACGTCTTGCCCTTGCTCAACAAAACCGAAGGGCGCACCGAAGCCGACCTCGCTGATAATGTCGTATGCCATATAGCTGGGGAGATGTTAGTAAGGCCTGCGGGATGATGTGGAGGGTCCAAGAATGGCACGGCACTCACACTGCCCACCATGAGAAGTCGAAACCAGCGCCCGTGCGGGCGAACCTCTCGTCGATTTTCTGTAGCCAATGCTCAATGTGGGCATCGAGGAGCGGCTCCATGCGCTTGACGTTACTAAAGCTGTACTGTGCAGGTATCAGTCGAGTGGGCTCTGAAGAGGAATAGAGGGTCGAATTGAGCGTACTGGGCCGGCAATGTGCTTCCGGAATGCCGCATGCGTCTTGTGAGAGCGCATGTTGAACAGAGACTCGGTCTCGCCGAAAGACCCGGTGATGTAGTGTCCCGTTTTGTCGGCATTGCGATGGTAGATGTCGGGGAGCTTCTTGGGGTCGCTGACAAGCAGGAGCGTGGGTGTGATGCGGACTACGGGGCCTGTAAACCTCGAAGTCAGGCTTGATTCCTTTCGCAATTTGTTATCCAGGTAGTACGATGATTTAGCGTACCGTATTTCTTGGTGAGATCGTATACTGTCTGCAGTTCAGTCTCGCGCAGATTATGCCATGCAATCCAGAGTCGGGTGACGCCGCCCCAGAATGGACCAGGAAATTTCGCCAACGGATGGAAAAAGTGGTAATAAACGATCTGGTACACGAATTGAAGAACCAAATAGGCGACCAGACCCAGGATCACGTTGGTCGCCGTGACCTTGGAGAGGAGATCTTCACCCACACCCATTATTATTGTTGCTTTTGTAGTCGGCGAGCGGACAGATGACAACAAAATTCACTGGGAAGCGACCCCAAGCTCTTAAAACATGATCATCGACAGCAGTTGGAGGGGAGCTTTGGACTTAGGCCGGCCCTAGGTCCAGCACCGACATCAGGCTCCTCTCTCCTACGTAAATGTGGCCAGACGACGAATCATTTAGCCTCGTAGTGGTACCACTGAAGAAGCGGTGGTGCGCCATCTAATCATGTACCGGGACTCGATCCGAGAGGAACACCCTTGAGGCTATTGCTTTGGGAGGGTAGACAATATGACCGGAGTGTCGATCCAACCAGACTGGAGCCATTGACAAGCGTCACTCGAAGAACAACCCCCAGTGCCGACAGACGATGACCAGTCTAGTCCGTCAGAGCAGCGACAACGTACCTTAGTGGTGCGGGGACAAAGTGAAGAGTCATGAGCAGGGAAGAATGCGCGACCGAGGGTTTAGGACCTCCAACGGCTCCTAGTGTCTCTGATGGAGTGGGCTTGCCGAGTCGCGATGAGCCATTATTGGCCGTAGTTAAGCTCTCGGGAGAGCAGTTGACACTTGCCAGGCTCGAAGTTTGTCAGAGACTGCTACTGAAATAGTCATGTCCCGACATCAAGACCATGGAACCATTTCTAGTTTGATGAAAGGGACCATTCCTTCCGTGCGAGTTTGTTGAGTGCCGTTCTTGCCATATATACTTATCCCCAATCCATTCATCTTCTGTCCATCAATCAAACTATTGGGATACCGCCGGATCCCACAAACAAAGAAAAACCCAAAAATTTCGTTGCTCGACGTGTTCGACAAAGTACTTTGTGGTAACAGCAATTAAATTGCGGTCCACTGGGGAAGGCGACGTGAGAGGCCAGATTCACCCACAGACATCCCCCTAGCAGGCCCTAACGGAGACTAACTCTGACGCCGGCCTGGAGCTGGGCCGCGATCGGCACTCCATCCATGGCTCCAGGAAAAATAAAATGATTACACCCTTTGTAAGTTGCAGAGGTGGTGTCAAAACAGGCCCAGAACCGCAGAAGCAAGTATGGCAGGAAGGCTTCCAGGATTTCCAGGAGAAATGGCTGGCTTAGTGTCGGCTTGCCCATGGAGTCCTAGGCCGTACTAATGGCGCACTTCGTTATGTCTAAAGTCGGTCTTTTAGCCACAAGACACTATTGACTGCTTCTGCAACTGTCGGAATTTTTGAGAGACTGAGAATTAGGAATACCTTCAGCTGAGAATAGCAACATTGCGCCTGTTGATATATTACTTTTGATACCAATGTCGCTATGGGTGGCGGACTTGTACACGGCCTTAGGGGCTGCTTTGACAGCTTGGATGGGAGGAGTAGCAAGGTCCTCCTATCTACTTACTAACCCACTTTTCATCCACCCATCTCACATGGAGTTTCAACGTAGATTTTCACCGTTGAATCGACAGAAATTGGTGATTGCGACAGCTGGATCGGGAGCACGGCCGATAGCCCGAGGTCCGTACCCGAAGCCACTCACTAAAACCATTCCCCGTCAATTTCATTCGCTCTTCGAACACCAGCATGAGTCAATGAACCAGCTGAGAAAAGAACTCCTTTCACCAAACCCAAACCTGGTTAACTTGTACATAAGTTGGCTGCCTGAAAGAACCAAAAAAGTATTAAGGGGTGATTTCTATCTTTTGGATCTATTGACCGAGCTACAGTGAATGTTCAGTAGTACAGGCTTCCGCGTGCCAGGGCGACCAATAAAGAAATGCCCTACACTCCCCAGAAGGTCTCCCAAGCCACCAGGATTTGATCCTGCGCACATCGTCTTCGCAGACATTTGGAGGCACGACGCCCTTTACCCGGCGTAGACCACCTTTTTGAGCAGTGGACTCGCCGTCCAGGATTGTCTGGACTGGTCCATCCCCAGTGGAGTGGGTCAGCATTTGCGCTCAGGGCGACTATCAGTCAAGGCCCTAATCCGGTTGGAGCAAAGCCGGCAGCGATTCTCCTGCCTTTCAGACACCGGTCGTTTACGGTGCGAATAGTGCCGGAATCTACTTCCTTCCGTTCCATCCAATCCTCCCGTGTCTTGCAGACAGACATTATCCTGTCACATCGGTGCTGGTGGCGGCTCGACTTAACTGGCTGCCATCGTACATCTTGGAATGAGGTTGTCGCAACCACTGTTCATGTTAACACCAACTATTATTATGAGAACGTGGTGGCAATCTCGGCAACAAAAGTACAGATAATTAACCAAAAGTTTGATCCACTTCTTGCGAGCATCGGAATCTCCCCCGGAAATATGACCCATCTTCAGTGACGATCGTGCCCCAACTGCTATTCTTGTCGCCGATGACCACTCAGTAGACAGCGACTAACACCCTAGTGGCACCCCCGATTAGCCGTGGAGCGATAGGTTCAACGACACATTTTCTGTATCAGATTCGACAAGCGGAGTCGGCCAGTGCATCCGGACTCGATGCCCACTACTCCATGGCCCAAGATGTGGGCTACGAACCGTCACTGGAGTCCCCGATTCTTGGTCGCTACTCGCGCGAGACATTGCTCTTTCCTTCCGTTCTTCCAGAGTCGCTAGCCAACTCTTGGTACCGTCTGAAATTTTCCCTCACGGTTTTCCCTTTTTGGGAAACGCCATTGTCCATCAGACTCAGTTTCTCCAACATGCGAGCTTGACCCGGACCGCTTGGGATCGTCCAAGAATGAGTCCCGGGGCCCTGCCAGGGGAATTCGATGCAGCGATGATCACGATGGCGCACATGCGCGAGATTGCCTCCCGTTAAATCGCAACTCAATCTTTAACCCCTCGGAAGTTCCCCTTCTAGAAATGACTGTCTTCTCTGTGTATGGTGTGTGTGTTGCATGAGGACTGCATCTGATGTGTTGCACTCGATAAATAGTTCTTGGACTTTCCCCATTTACTACCTCGCATTGTGCGCCCTGTCCTCTTCTGTCCGTCTGGACTGTCAATATGGCAGCTACACAGGGTCCAGTTATTGCTGGTGTTGCGATCAGTTTCGCAATCCTCAGTTTCGTGACCATCTGTCTACGACTCTTTGCTCGAATCTATGTCTTGAAGCGAATGGGCTTGGATGATTGTAAGTCAATATTGTTCCGGCCTTCCTTGGCTGCAGTCCGACTTGTGACTGACCTACTATTTCTCCTAGATTTGATTATCGGCGCCTGCGTAAGGGGATCGTTTCCGGTTCGATGCGATTGAGCTGACCTCTCACCCAGCTTCTATCATGGGCATTCACAGCGGTTACCATTGTCGGTAAGATTATTCCTCATATCCGCATGTAAGGACGGAGACTGACACTGTATAGCTGTCAAGCATGGTATGGGCCAGCACATGGTGGATGTGGATCAAAGTGGTCTTATCACATACTCTTTTGTACGTCACTTCAACTTCCACTTATGTTATCGTTGCTGACGGCATGGCCAGGCCGTCTGGTTGAGTTCGATGTTCTACCTGGCCGCCCTTGGCTTTGTCAAAACCTCCGTCTGCTGGTTTTACACCCGACTTGGTGACAAGCAACTCACGCGCATGTCTCTCGTCATGATGTGTGTTGTGGGTTGCCAAGCCACTTCATTCGTTCTGACAGCTGCGTTTCAATGTAATCCCATTGCCCGCGCCTGGAACACTAGCATTCCTGGCCGCTGCGTAACAATCAACGTCTTCTACCTCGCCAACGCAGCGCTGAACATTACGACCGATCTGCTCACCTACTCGCTGCCGATCCGGGTCATCTTGAAGCTACACATGCCAAAGAAACAGAAGTTGGCCCTCGGTGGTATCCTCTGTCTCGGTCTATTGTAAGTAGTACAATGTCTGCTACTTTTGAGGTGAAGCACGTGTTTCTTTGCTTACTCGCAATATCTAGCGCTTGCATCTCCTCCATCATCCGAATCACCTACATCCCCGCGATGCTCACCTCCAGCGACTCCACCTACGCCATCAGCGGCGCCATGTACTGGTCCGCCATCGAGATTAACGTCGGCATCTTGGCCTCCTCCATCCCGTCCTTCAAAGCCATTGCCTCTCGCTTCCTCCCCCGCTTGATCGGCGAGTACAGCTCGAACCGCGGCTACGGCGGATGGTCGAGCAGCAACATGAGAAAAGAGGAATCGGGCTTCTCCAAGGGTCGCGAGCATCCATTCGATATGAGTATCCTACAGACCCAAGATGGAGACGCTATGACAGGCACACAGATTGGGAGGAACAACAGCCAGGAACGGATTATCATACCGGATGGGAAGATCTATGCTCATACGGAAATCGAGACGAATGTCGAAGTCAGTACGGAGTACTATACTCGCCCGATGCAGTCGTTTGACATTCCTCGGTCTCTGGGGACGCATAGTTCTTGAGTGGATAACTATACCCTTACTTTCTTCTACCTTTTGTTATTTATTCCTCGTTATTCAACTTCATATACCCTTTTCTTCTTCCTTCGTTCACTTGATTTCCTATTTTATTTCCCACTTACATACCTTCCCCTTATTTCTCTTACAGGGGAGCTTTCTTGACCCCCAATCACCCCCCTTTTTTCTTGACGGCCCTTCAGAATATCTAGATGAATACCAACTAGAATGACCTCGGCAACAAATCTCAACGAATTTACCGCCAAATCTTGCAATAAACCAAGCGGGTAGACTAACTAACTCAATTAAAACCCCGTGATCGTCAAAGCAAAAAAGAGTTTAGTAGCAACTACTGAGAAAGCTAAAACTAAACCCCCGGCCGCAGTGGTGGTCTATCTATCATATGCGCACCACAGCAGACAAAGAATCAAAACAAGGATGACTGATATTCTGTGGCACATGATCTACCTGGCAGGGATAATGATTTGTCACTCCACTTCCTATTTCTTGATAGAAATCAAGTGGATCCATAGTGGATAGCAAGGTCAACCTTCTATCGAGACAATGGAGTTACATGGTGTAGAGACACCCACAATGGCGCATGGTAGAATA